ATAATAAATAATATTTTTACTTCTAAATCATTTTACTTTTTAAATAATAAAAAATAGATTACAGTTTTTTAATAAAAATGTTTGATTTAAAAAAATTTATTTTTACATATAGACAGAATTTTTTTATTATTATATTAAATTATTTTAATTATTAATATATTAAATTATTGTTTTTTTTATTATTCTAATATTAATTATTTGTGTTTTCATTGATTCTCGTTTTTTTTTTAATTTAAAAAATGTTTAAGGAAAAAAATAAATTTTTTAATTTAAATTACAAAGTTTATTATCATATTTTGTATAATATAGCGAACTATAAATGACACTAAAAATATTATTTAAATAATTAATTATTATTATTATTATTAAAATAATTATTTAATTGAACCAAATAAATATTGTTATAAATTTTATTTTTCGGTATTTATAAAATAAACTGTTATTTTAATATATAAATAAATATATAATTTTAAAAAATTGTTAATATATTTTTTTATATGAAAATCTCGACATTCCAGAGGTAATTCTTTTTAAATAACACAAATAAAAAAAATGATTATTAACAATCAATTTAGAAAATGAGGAAATTTGTCGGAAAACATACTTATAAATATATTTTGAAGAGAAACCACGTGACTTGACAGAATATCACATTTGATTGAAGTGGGATAAAAAACGCACAATTTGTGATAGAGGAATTGAAGTTTTATTTCCTCCAGACAGTCATTGATTATAAAGAGAGTAAAAGAGAGAAAGAGAGAAAATGAAAGAGAAAAATATATATATATATATATATATGTAATATATTGATGTTTAAAGATATACGATCGTTAAAAGAATGATTTAAGGACGTGTTTGAAAGTGTCCGGGCTGTGGTGACAGCCCGAGACTCAGTCGCGAGCCGCGTGGACGCCGCTTGTAAACTGCGGTCTGTTAGACGGTGTTCATGATAGCAAAGACTGAGCTCCTATTGGTTGCCAAGCATCGAGTATAGTCGCGTGAGCCAGCGCTTGCGTTCGACTTTTTCTCATCTATATATCAAACTAAAACACCTGATACTGTCAACGTGTATATATATATATATATATATATATATATATATATATATATATATATGCGGTTTCAATTCCAACACTCCAAGGGGAGTAAACACCCCTTCCCCCTGTATTTTTTTTCGCACTGAAATTATATCGTTAAAAAATATCTTCTCTCTCGCCCTTTTTATAGAAGAGGGAAATTTTTTTACATTAAATTGAACCACATTTTCATAGTGAAGAAATTTTCCCTTTATAACCAAATTTGGGGGGAAAATTTCTATATTGAATCGAATTTTTCTATTTTTTATTCTCTCTAAATCTGAATTAGTAAAAATGTTTACTAATTTGAATTAGTGACTCACTTTTTGCTTCTGAATTAGTAAAAATGTTTACTAATTTGAATTAGTGATTCACTTTTTGCTTCTGAATTAGTAAAAATTTTACTAATTTTTTAGTAACTTTTAATAACAATTAGTAAAATTTAACTAATTCTAAAACAAAAAGTGAGTTACTAATTTAGATTTAGAGAGTTTCATAGAATTTTCATTCAACAGAATTTATGGTTAAAATAATTTTTATTCAATTTTCATTTTATGAAATTTTTATTTAATAAAAATACTTTTTTTTTAAAAGTATTTTTTATTTTCAAAAAAGAATCTTTTTTGTGTTTTTTTTTTATAAAAATAATTTTTTTATGAAAGAATAGAATAATAAAAATCTTTATTTGTCCTGATTGTTTTATTATTTTCATTTTGTTGTCACGGTAACCATAAAATGATAATATTAAAAAAATTTTATTATATGCGTTGAAAATTCCATATATATATATATATATACACTCGTTTTAAACACTTCTCATTTATGAAATTCTAAAATCCTTTCACAATTCTCTAAATTATTAATTCTCGACTATGAAATATTTCACATACGTGAAATTATTATATTACATTCTTTTTTAAATTCTCTCTTTTGTCTTAAAATTAACAGAACTTGATAATAAAATACACTCAAATGTGTAATTTAAAAGTAAAAAAAAAATATTCTTCAAATTTTAATAATTGGAAATTAATGTCTTGATTTTTTAAAAAAAAAAAATTGTTTAGACAGTGCAGCTTGAATAAAAAAAAATAAATCATTTATAGTGTGTGGTTGAACAATTGAGGTAAACAAAGGATGGGTGCAATAAAGTCGAGAGTGAGAAGATTGATAACGTCCTAGGGTGTCCTAAACTGGAACAACCATGCGAGTTATTCCATTTTACCCTCTCAAAGTTCTGACATGCTCTGAAATGTGTATCTACAAAATCCAAGTAAATTTCTCACTAGAAAACATTTCTTAGAAAAGATTATTTTTCAAAATGAAAAATTGCTTGAAAATTTTTTTTTTTAAATAGACATAATAAAGTGAGAAAAAAACTGGGTTATCCCATACCTTAAATGATAAATTAATTTCTACTTTCTTAAAAAATAAACAAACAAAAAAAAATTTCGATATCATAACAATAAAACACACAATAGTTTCAAAGAGCTCGAATAACAGTGCAACTAAAAGCAAATAAATGTTTTATACAAGGAAAAATAATTTTAAAAAATTAGAAAAAAAAGAGTTAAATAAAGTAATTATTATTTATTTGAAAAATAAATCTACTTTATGTAATGAAGAAAAATTTATTTAATAAAATAAGGAAATAAAAATTAAATAAAAAATAAATAAAAAATTAATCAAAAATAAAATAATTAATACTATAAGATAAAAATTTCGAAAAATGAAATTATTCATCATTGTTGGAAAATTTATTGAAGGTTAATTTGCATAGATAACGATTACTTGTTAATCTGATTCGAACTATTGTTTTCCCCTCTCGCCTTTCATTTCGAGTTTCTGTTTCGCGCTGTTTTAATTCGCATCAGATCGTTTAATATGAGCATCGAGAGAATTCACACTTTCATGAACGTTGATTAAAAACAAAAACAACATTTACACTTAAACTAGAACTTTAAAATATTCACATCATTTATTTTTCTATTAAAGAATATGTAAATAAATAAAAAAAAAAAAAAATTCAAATATTCAGCAAAAAAAAATATATATATTTTCCAATATGACAATTATTTTTCATATTTGTGAAATATTTGCATTCGGATACATTTTCTGCATATATGTAAAAAGTTCCAATATTTTATTATTATTTATTTTTATTATTCTGTAAATATAAAAATGTAAGAAAAAAAAAATGAAATTAGTGTATTTGAAAAAATTTAATTATTTAGGAATATTAAAGGAAGAATGATAATTTAACTCTTGATTGTGAAAAAACAATAAATATATCGAAGAAATTAACGCGAGAAAATCGTTTAGATGCGCTCTCACGTCTTTGGAATTTTTATCCCACTTTTAGCGAAAAAGTATAAGGAGAGGCTTGCTTTAGATTCTGAAGAAAGATTAAATACAAACTCTTCACTTCAAGTCACTTGTATAATGAAGAAATACAGTTTCTAATGAATTAAGCCAATTAAATGTAATTTGCAAATTAAAAAATCGAGCATTTTTTTTAATTCACAGAAAGTGGAGCCAAAATCATATTTTCCACTAGATGCGAAAATAATTAACTTTTACTAAATATTTAAAATTTGTTATATTAAAAATAATATACGATAAAATGAATAAATAAAAATAATAAATATAAATAAATATGAAAAAAAATTTCTAAATAATTGTTTGGGAAAATTATTATTTTATTGCATTTTGTATTTGATGAAATTTTTGATTCCGTGTATATAATAAAATTATATATATAGTGAACGCCATTCAAAACTATATCGTGCTCCCGGTTAATTATCGAGTTCTTGTAATAGTTCTCCTTTACGGTGATTCAGAGTAATTGCATTCTCTAGAATCGCGATCAAAACCATTCGAGCTCGAAACACTTTCAGCCAAGCCATACTATTTCGACGTGTATTGAAATCCCGTGCAAGGTATACTGTTTTCGAAAGTTCACACGCTACCTCTTATATACGAACAAAGACGCTTCTCTTATATATATACAGTGTTCCGAACATTGAACATCAGTCACGTTCCGGGTCTTGAAAATCGTATTTTATTTATTCAAAATTTCACCTGCGATATATCGCTCTTTTTTTCTCTTCTTCTTTCCTATTTTTCAATTTTTCCAATTTTTTTTTTTTCAAATTATATTTTTGAAAAATTCCAAATTATTTTTAACTATAATTAATTTAACAAAAATAATAATAGTCCTTTAAATAATTTATTAATTTTATTATTTTTGTTAAATTAATTATTATAATTAATGATTTATTAAATTACCATAATCTTTTTTCTAATCTTTAAAATTTTTATTGTAGCAATGAAATTTTTTACGAAATTTACTAATTAATTTTCGTTATACACCTTAAAAGCACAAAATTGTCACTTTGTTTTCAAGGCTGCAATCGACTTTTGTGTCAAATGCATTTAACAACACATATGTTTTGAAGGAATTTAATTGCTGTTTGCCAATTTTCCAGTTTGAATTGCACCCGTCAATTGCTTTGATTTGTATTACCTGCAATTAGGTGATTTTGTCCACTCTCTTTTAACGAGACAAAAAAAAAAAAAAAAAATATTAATAAAATTGAAAACACAATTTTTGAAATTAATTAGCAAAATTAAAAAATAAATTAATTTTGATTTTTTTTTTTTTTGAAAAAGGTGCGACAAAAAATTTAAAAACAAAGAACTTGGGAGAAAAAAAATTGTGAAATCTCCACTGACAACCAAAACGCCTACTCATATAATCGCGAATAACACACACGTGTGTGGGACTTGCGTCCAATGTCTTTTGTACCACGTTTTCTTCTTCTTCTTTCTCCCAACGAAACATATTGTTTCATGACTCTCGGTAGTTAATCGTGCGTGTGAATAGAAATTAATTTTTTTTTAAATATATTGTCTTTTAAAACTCACCTGATAATTGACGTTCTGACTGTGACCTCGGCTGCTGTAGAACCTGTAATGAAATTTTGCCATTAGTTAAAAAAATCCTAAAAAAAATTATTATTATTATTATTAAAAGATTTTTATAATAGAGCCTCGTATAAATTTAATAAATATAGTCGTAAAAATTTTACGATTTAATTATTTTCAATTTTTCATTTAATATGTCAAGAACAACAGGTGTTAATAGTTAATAAAATAATAGTAAAAGAAATTAAAAACCTGACCTCTAAAGGAGAAGATAAAATATTTATTGACGACAATTTCTAAAAAAAATAATTATTTATTATCAATCTTCTTTGGAGAAATAAAAAATTTTTTTTTTGTAAAAAAGATATTTTAACAAGAAAGTAGAAATTTAGAATTAGAATATATTTGTTTCAATTTGAAAATATTTTATTCGGAGTATTTTTTGTATTATTTTTATAAACTATATTTTCTACATTTTTATTTGTAGTTTATTTTTAAATTTACATTTTACTTTAATAAATATTAATTTAATAAAATTTAATTTAAATTTTATGAAATTAAATTTTAATTTAATAAAATTTAATTTAAATTTAATTAAATTAAATTGTTAATAAAAAGTTGTATTCGCAAAACTCTATACTTAAAATTAATCATATTGAGAAATGAATGAAATTATAAATTACAGTCAGACTCGTTGATTCGTTTTTTTTTACATTGCTTTCAACTAATAATGACTGATAAAATAATTTCGATTAGTTATTAATTTTATTAAGACATTAAACATGAATTGTTAATAATTTATTATTATCGACAGGTAGTATTTTAGCGCAATTGAGTAAAAGCAATTTTAATTCTACGTTAGACCAGTTTATTATATATATATATATATATATATATATATATATATATGCGTCTCTTATTGTTAGTTTGATTTGTGCAATAATTTATTTCTGAAAAACTGTCACTTTTTCTATATACATATTTATAAATTAAAAATATATAAATCTCAATTATTTACCATTTTTTAAGAATCTCATACATAAACAAAAAAAGTTTTTATTTTTTTTATTTTATATTATATCGATACTGCAGTTTTAATTTACATGACAATTTTCAAGGTGAGGAAAAAAAGTGAATTTTTCGAAAATAGAAACTAAAAATAAAAATGTAAAATATATAATTTATTACAATGATGGAATTTTTCCAACTTGAATTTAAATATTTTACAGAAAAGAAATTTAAATATTAAATTTAAATTAAGTTTAAAAAAAGAAAATAATTTTTAAAATTCAAATTGTAAAATGAAATAGTGTTAAAGAATATTTTTATTTTGTTCAATTTTTAGGGGAAAAAAATCGAAAATAGCTCACCAGAATGAGTCATATATAAATTGAAGTTGGTTTTTAAGACGAGATTAATGGGGAAACATTATTTTGCCTTATCTTGTGGATGCGGAGTATGAGAAATAAATTAATCTGACTATATATTCGCCCTTATTATTTTATTATCTAAACAAGACACACGTTAATGACAGTTTTATGAGATGCGCTACTCACGAAATTATTATTATTATATGAATCGATAACTCGCGAATATTTTAGAATTAATAAAACCTTTCTAAAATATATGCATTTGCCCCATATTCATTATTTTTTTATTTTAAAATTTTTTTTTACTAGCACAAATCGACAAATTTTTAATTAATATTAAGTGAAAATCGTTTCATTTTATGCATAGATTCAAAAAATATATTTTAGAAAAAATTTTTAATGAAGCTTGATTAAAAAAAAAAATTTCTAAGTAGAACAAAACGTGTTGAATTCAACAAACTTTAATTGCTTTTGAGTGGAAATTTACATATTTAGTTGAGAAATTTGACGAGTAGATGAAAATTAGTTGTTTATAAGTAGAGCAAATCGCGTTTAGTCAGACAAACTTTAATTAATTTCTAGTGGAAATAATAAATTTTTTAAAAATTATTTCTACTTAACATTCATACATTCAGAAAAAAGATATGTTTGAACCAAATGTACCATTTTTTTATATTTACCCAATTTTTTGGTTAGTTCAAACAAAATTTATTTAATTCAAATAAATATTTATTTGATCTAAATAACTGTTTGGTTTATTTTAATAAATTTTTTGAACAAAGAAAAAATTTGATTGAGCTAAATAAACGTTTGGTTTATGCAACCAAATGTTTGATTAACTGTATATCAATGCATTTATTTTGTTGATTTAACCAAAATTTGGTTGCTTCAAACGAATTTTTTTCAAAACTAAAAAAAATTTTTTTCAGTATAATATGGAAAATATAATAATTTAATAAATAAATAAATAATTATCAGTTGATTAAATAATAATTGAAATATGAACTGAGTAAAAATTTCCAACGACTTACACTGAGAAAAATGTTTAGTCAGAGCAACCAAAATTTGGTTGGGCCAACAAAAAAATTTTGTTGGTATTTAAACAACCAAACTATTATTGTTTGAGTCAACCAAAAAAGTGTTTTTTGTTGGCATAACAAAAATGTTTGGTTAGCCCAACCAAATTTTTTTTGTTAGATCAACAAACGATCATTTGGTTTTTTAGACCAAACTATTTTGTTGTGTTAACCAAATTATTTTTGTTGTCGAAACTAAATTTTGATTGGAATTTAAAAATGTTCAATCAAATAATTTGGCCTAATCAAATGTTTGGTTGAGTTAACTCTACGACTTTGTTTCAGCCAACCAAAATTTGGCAACAAGAACCAAAATTGCCTAAACAAACAATTTTGTTGCAAAGTCTAAATTTTTTTTTGTGTAGAGAGTAAAAAATTGAAATCTAAGAATAATTGTAGTTTGAAAATTATTTATTGATTTGTCAAGTATTGGGAAAAAAAAGAAAATATGGTGATATAAAGTTGGCCACTTCTCACCTGAGACCATAGTATATGTTTTCATGTATAAAGATCAAATACACATCAATACAAAGGGAAGTTATTCGAGGGCTGAAGGCTGTCAACCGATTAATACGAGGCACGGCTCACTGGTCCATTAACTTTGATCGTCTACAAAACACGCATTCGAGTGACGTGTTCACTAACATGTGGCTCTTCGTTGAAAACCTGATCATGTGAGAGATGGACAGGCCATGTACTGACACTTCATTGATATAATTTTACCCAGTTTTGTATTATAAGAGAGTGAAAGCGCAAGCAAAATCGATTGCCTCAGCATCTCAGATTTATATATTTCACTATTATAAACTCTCAGCAAAATGTTTTTTAAACACCATATTATATAGTGATTTTCACCTTGTCTCATATAATGTCTACCATTAACTATATAGTCAAACAAAAACCAAAGAAATATATTTATCAGCGAAAGTGAAGTTTATGCGCCTTTTAAAGACCATTAACGATTTTAGATTTATTTTAAATCAACATCTTTTATTTTTTTTAGAAAAAAAAAGGAAAAGAAAAAGAAAGCTGTCGAGAGAAAAATATAAATTATGAAAAAAAAAAGATTTTTCGCAACAAAATCGGTCAATTTTGATTGTAACCAAATTTTGGTTGACTGAAACAAAATTGTAGTTAACTCAAACAAACATTTGGTTAGGCCAAATTAGGACTAAATTATTTGGTTGAAAATGTTTAAATTCAAACCAAATTTTGCCTATGAGAATAAAATAGTTTGGTATGAAAAATCAAATGATTCGATTAACGAAATATTTTTGTTGCCCTATCAAAATAAATTGGTTGAGCTAATCAAACATTTTTGTTATGACAAAAAAAAATAGTTTTTAAATACCAACAAAAAATTTTGTTATTATTATAATAATTTATTAATAAATTAATATTATTAATTATAATAATAATTATTAATTAATTTTATTAATTAATTAGACGTGATTGAGTCGAGGAATTTACATGGCGTATATAATGCGAGAAGAGATAGTTTGTCGATATATTTGAAATTATATATTTTACGCTAATCGATAGTTGATGGACGTGATAGGCAGAAAGACTGATAACTGTTCGATTCAAACGTCACATGAGAAGCAGCCGCTCCCAATGAGGCTTTATATATATATATATATATATATATATATATAAAAGAGGATAAAGATTAACTACCATTTTCCCATGCGTTCATTTCACGAGAGATTAAATTCTTGATCTTTTAATGATTTTTCTTCTGGTGAAATGTTATTTTTTTTACCTCATTTAATATATGCGTCGTTTTATAGTTGGAGAATTTAAAACTAATGAAAGTAAAAATTAGAAATAAAAAAATAGTATAAAATATCTGTATTTTAAGTAGAACAAATTTTGCTTAGTCAGACATTTAAATTAACAAATGAAAAAAAAAATGTCGAGTGATATAAATTTTATAATTTAAGTAGAGCAAATTGTGTTTAGTCAGACATATTTAAATTATAAAATTAAAAAAAATTTATATTTTACATCAAAGAAAATTAAAAGACATTAAAATAAGCTGCAACGCTTATTATTTTAATCCAATTTTTACTTATTTTAATACCAAAATGGATTAAAATAAGCAAAATTGGATTAAAATAATAAGCGTTGCAGCTTATTTTAATGTCTATTTTAATTATAATTATTATAATTATTATTATTTATTATTATTATTATTATTATAATTATTATAATTATTATTATTATTATTATTTATTATTATTATTTATTATTATTATTATTATAATTATTATTATAATTATAATTTTAATTATTTTAATGGCATTAAAATAAGCAAAATTGGATTAAAATAATAAGTGTTGCAGCTTATTTTAATGCCTTTTAATTTTCTGTGATATTTTAATTATCAAGTAAAAAAACGTTGTTTAGACACTTTTTTATATTAAGTAGATTATATTGTGTTTAGTCAGACATATATGAATGTTCAAATATTTTACAAAAAATCAAGTGAAACAAATTTTTTCATATTAAGTAAATTAAATTGTGTATAGTCAGACCAAATTTGTTTTCCAAGTAGAATACATTGAGGTTAGACAAACTTTTTTTAAATTATTTAACAGAAATATTTTACTACTAAAAATATTTTACCATTAAAAAATAGTTTTTTTTTAAAGTAGAATAAATTTTGTTTTTTAAGTAGAAAAAACTGTATTTAGTCAGACATATTTTAATTGTCAATTTAAAAATGCTATCAATTTTCTATTTTAAGTAGAGCAAATTATGCTTAGTCAGACCTATTTTAATTTTTAATTTAGTAAAAAAAAGTTTTCCGAGTTTTTTTTAAGTAGTATAAATTAATGTTTAGTCAGACAATGTTATTTTAAATTATTTAGTGAATGTAATTAATAATTTGCCCAGGTTTTTAAGTAGTACAAATTTTTAGTCAGACAAAGTTTTCAATTAATTTATAGAAAAATTTCCCTTGATTTTTTTAAGTAGTACAAATTGTGTTTACTCGGACAATTTTTTGAATATTGTTTATTGAATTTAATTAATAATTTAATTTAAATGAATTTGAATAATTTTGCATAGTTTTTTAAGTGACACAAATTTTGTTTAGTCAGACAGACGTTTAAATAATTTATAAAAAAAGCCTCGGTTTTTAAGTAGTTTAGACAGACAATTTTTTAAAATAGTTCATTGAATTTAATTAATAATCAAAATTGAATTAAATAATTTCTCCAGTTTTTAGTGGTAAAAATTTTGTTTAGTCAGACAAACTTTTCAATTAATTTATAGGAAAATTTTTTTCTGGTTTTTAAGTAGTGCAAATTGAGTTTAGTCAGACAAAAGTTTTTTTTTTCTCAATTATTTATGATTGAAAAATTCTACTTTTCTTAAAAATCACTTTTAAAATGTGGAGAAAAAAAAATTTAGAAACCATATAAAAAATTACAAATTAGCATTGTGTCACTTACAGGTTTCTGTGAGTCATCCTTGTCTGCGTTGTTATTTTCTAAAAGAGGGGCACTGCTACTTTTTCCCCCTAATTCAATTGCAAGGGGCTCAGATTTAAGTTGAAGGCTCGCCGCAGATGGAGATGAAGGAGCACGTGGCGGTGTTTCTAATAATTCTCCAGAGCTCAACGAGCTACTTGCGGTTATTGAGAGACCTGTAAAAATCATAAAATTCAAAAAACCTATTTGTAAATTATTTTCAAAATGCTAATTACGTTTTTTTTTTGAACATATTTAGAAATTAGTAATTATTTACTAATTTCTTAAAATAAGTATTAAATTACATTTTTTTTCAAAATTTGTTATAAATTATTTTTATAAAGATTTAATTACAATGAATATTGAAAGTATAAATAGGAAAAATTGATACCATTTTTTAATTTTTTGAAATAAATATTTTTTTTTTATTGTTACGTCCTCGCTGTGGTGAAGATACAAAATGATAATATTGAATCTTACCCAGTGGTAGATTGTTGGGTCTATTTGGTTTTATTCTTGGTAGGGAATCATCTAAACCACTACTACTGTCGACAACATCATGTGAATAGTGATCCTCATCGTGTCGTCGAGTTTGCGTGTGAACGCTTTCTCTTTTTATCCAAACGTCCTGCGATCCCTTTTCCAATCGGGAATTCAACTTTGAGGGACGACGTCGTATTCTTTCCCAAGTCTCTTTGCGGTGACATTTGTTCGATGTCGCCGCTGTAAACACACAAAGCGAGGACGTAACGTATTTTTCAAATGTAACACAAAAAACAGCAGAAATTATTTTTTTTTTAATTTGTTAATTTTTATTATTATATGTGTTAAAATATCTAATTGATTTTTTACAAAAATATATTTGTAAATGTATATTTTTAGTTATAAATTTTTAGTTTTAAATTTTTAGTTATAAATTTTTAGTTTTAAATTTTTAGTTATAAATTTATAAAGAAGTGAACATTTTTTTTTTATTTGTTAGAATTTAAAAAAGAGAAAAAAATAAATTACGTTTAATAGAACGTCGTTCGGAACTTCTTGGTGGGCTTGCAGTGCCAATTCCACTTTCGAGAGGTGACGCTCGATCTGTTGTGTCTGGCGATACACTGCCGGAGGAAATTTCGTCCATACTTTGCAGTAAGTCTTGAGAGGAAGATGATGATCTGTTATCATCGTCTACAGTGTGTTGGGGAGACGCGTTATCCAAGGTCGTTACGTCTTGAAGTGATTGCACATCCACTCGAGAGTCAGCTATATTTATAGAGAGGAAAATTCAGAAGTTTATTTTAAAACCTAATAATTTGCCTTACGCAGTAAAATCTTCATCGTTTTATTATATTTTTCAGTATTTTTCATTTTTTATTATATTCGTCATTTCATTTTTTTATTTATTTAAAATTTTTATTTATTTTTATTAATTTTTTTTATTTTTTTTTATTTTTTAAATACAGATTATTTTCAGTTTTTAATTATATATTTAAAAATAATTTCTCTTATTTAATTAATTTATTATTTTATTTTATTTAATTTCTATTATATTTTCTTCATAGTTATTTTTTTTTTTTTAAATACAGATTGTTTTCAGTTTTTAATTATATATTTAAAAATAATTTCTCTTATTTAATTAATTTATTATTTTATTTCATTTAATTTCTATTATATTTTCTTCATAGGTATTTTATAATTTTTATTTCATTTTTTCTATTTTTTATTGGTTAAATAAATTTGGTAAATATTTATTTTAAGAGTTTATATTTAATTTTTCGTTAGGTTGTAGGAATAAAAGTTTGCAAATTTGAGTAGAACAAATAATGTTTGGTCAGACAGATTTTTATTATCAAATGGAAAAATGCTTTTCAGTAGAAAAAATAGTGTTTAGTCGGACAGATTTTTATCATCAAGTGGAAAACTGCTTTTTAGTAGAAAAAATAGTGTTTAGTCGGATAGATTTTTAATTTTCAAGTAGAAAAAAATTGGCGAATGGGCCAAATTTTTTTATTTTAAGTAGAACAAACTGTGTTTAGTCAAACAATTTAAAATTTTCAATTAGAAAGAAAGGTTAATTCGAACAAATTTTGTATTTTAAGTGGAAAAAAATTGTGTTCAGTCAGACATATTTTTATTATCAATTAAAAAATCGAAAAGGAAATAACAATTTTCTATTTTAAGTAGAACAAATTGTGTTTAGTCAGACATATTTTTTATTATAGAATAGGAAAATTAGGCGAATAGGATAAATTTTGTATTTTAAGTAAAACAAACTTTGTTTAGTCGAACGTAATTGAATTTTCAAGTGTGAAAAAAAATTGTGTGGTACAATTTAGTTTTATTTATTAAGTAGAAAAATATGCTTTTAGTCAGACATATTTAAATTATCAAAAAGGCGAAATGCGAATTCGGCAAATTTTGTATTTTAAGTAGAAAAAACTTTTTTTAGTTAGACAAAGTTGAATTTTCAAGCTGAAAAAAGTAGTATATGATATGTTTTTGTATTATAAGTGGAAAAAATTGTGTTTAGTCAGACATATTTTAATTATCAAATAGAAAAAATTGTTGAATAGAACAAATTTTATATTTTAAGTAGAACAAACTGTGTTTAGTCGGACAAATTTGAATTTTCAAGTTAAAAAAAATTGTTTTGGACAATTTTTTGTGTTTTAAGTAGAAAAAATTGTTTATAGTCAGACATTGTCTAATTATTAATTTAAAAAATTGCAGCGTGATATCAATTTTCTATTTTAAGTAGAACAAATTGTATTTAGTGAGACAATGTTTTTTAATTAATTATTAAATTAATATAATTAATAATTTTATGAATCGAATAATTTGTTCAGTTCTTTAAGTAATACAAATTTTGTTTAGTCGGACAAAATTTGCAATTAATTTATACAAAAATTTCCCTTGATTTTTAAGTAGTACAAATTGTGTTTAGTCGGTCAATTTTTTTAAAATATTATTTATTGAATTTAATTAATAATTTATTTGAAATAAATTGAATAATTTTGCATAGTTTTTTGAAGTGACACAAATTTTGTTTAGTCAGACATATTCTAAGTATCGATTAAAAAAAATTGGCGAGTGATATTAATTTTCTATTTTAAGTAGAAAAATTGTGTTTAGTCAGACATATTTGTATTAATAATTAAAAAATAAAAAAAATTTATTTTAAGTAGAGCAAATTTTTTTTAGTCCGACTTGAATTTTCAATTTAAAAAAAAATTGTACAATTTTTTTTAAGTAGAAAAAATTGTGTTTAGTCAGACTTATTTCTATTCTTATCAGATTCTTTTTTTTGTAAGAAAAAAATGTTTTTTAATTTCTAAATTAAAAAACAAAAAAAAATTGCCCTTACCTCGTGGAGATTCGCAGTCACTGACCCAGGTAAAACTTGAGCTTCGTGAAATTGCAGGCGATGTTTGTGTTGCTATATCGGCACAGGTGAATGATTCTGTAGGTGGTGAACTCGTACAACAGGTGCCCGACCCACTTCGAAATTTTGATAGTAGAGAATGTAAGGAAATTGGCAACTGAAAAAGAAAATATAAATTTTCGAAATGTGAAACTATTTTTAGTTTTAACATTTTTTTATTATAATTTAGTTTTATTATATTATATTATATTATATTATTATATAATATACAAATTGATTTAATAAAAAATTCAAAATACATTTATTAATTTAAAAAAAAATACTCACCGAACCCGATTTGGAGCCATCGTCGTCAATAATTTTCCTCTCATTCTCATTAACCGTCTTGATCTCTTTTTCATTTCCGTTGATAATTTCCTCGTCTCTCTTGTCGATATCGGGAAAATGACACTCAACAGCCACATCGTTGCTCTTTGACCTCCGAAATGGAAATTTCATTAAATTAACAGGACTTGATCGTCCAATATCTTTGTTCGATTCAGAGAGTCTTTTTGCCGTGAGATCAGATCTTAATGTCAATGGAGAAAGATCCCTTATTCTCAATGTATCGTCAATGTCATTTCTTTTTTTCACCCTTGACAATTGTTCGTTACTTGATAAATGTAATAAATCCTGATCGGGTAACGATGAGACACGCACCAATATTGCTTCATTGTCATTGTCATCGTGAAATATTGGTGTGTTATTGCGTTTTTTTAAAAATCGTGAAAATGGTAATTTTTTCTCCTCAATGGGCGTGACAGGCGCCGAACGTGGTAAATAATTTTCCAATGATTTTGATCTTGTTTCATGATAATCATTTGATTGTGATTTTTCGTAATTAAATTTTCTTCGTTTATTGATGCCTTTTAATGATGATGATGATGATGATGAGGATTGATTGATTTTTTTTCTCGTCTCTTGTCGTTGTCTTGGTGGTAATTTGGCATTGATATTTTCAAGATAACGTGTTTTAAATCCACTCCATGGTCCTGTGGTAGTTTTAATAGTATTTCTTGGATTTATTCCATTCTTTGGTTCTTGGCATTCTGTTGGATTTTTCAAATCAAAATCATTTTTTCGACTAGAGGTGTTTCTTAAATTTTCATTTGATTCCATTGATTGACATTCGCTCCAATTGTGATTTAAAAATTTTTCCCGATAATCTCTTGTTTCGAGAACATGAAGATTCTCCGGTAAACTTCCACTTAAACGACGTTTTTGAAAAATTAAATGATCATTTTTATTGGAATTAAAATTTTTCGGTATTTCATTTTGATATTTATTTGTTCGTTTTAATGAACTGTGCTTTCGTTCAATATCATTTATTTCCAAATTGTTTAAACTATTTGTTGAACTGTTATTACTACTATCGGCAATACCAAATTCATTGAGTAAATCTTTATAATTAATTTTTTCCTCCTTAACAGGATAATTGTTACGTTTTGAACAATTTAATTTGGTACGAGTCAGTTCATTGATCTCTTTGGCAATAATATCATTAAATTCGGCAAGAATTGTCTCTGACCAATCGCTAATGTCATCTCTCAATGAAATATTGTTGTTTGTTTTTTTATTTGATATTTGTCGTAATAAATGTTTTCTCGATGGCAATGAATTTGTTCCATATGAACGTTCTCTCGTCATTGATGTTGGTGAATTAAATGATTTTATTTTATTTGTATTTGATGAACATTTCTCAGTGTTGTTGATTAACGATGATGGTGTGACTGATTCTATTATCTCGCTTATTTCCTCCTGGAAAAAAAGAGAAGAAAAAAAATAATTAGAAATTTATTTAAAAAGTACATTTTTTTTTTTAATTTAGAAAAAATTTAAAAAGCGTGAGAAATATATTTTTAGGTTGAAGAAAATTATAAAATTCCGTAATGTAAAAACAATTGCAAGTTGATTGATCGATTCGTGATAATTCTAAATGCCGTTTAGATTCTACATTTTTGCTCTGCCTTTGTTTTTCTATATATATATTTTATTGGAGAAACAATTTTGCAAAGTTTTACTCGCAATAGGGATTCACGAGTGTTTATATATATATACACACGCGATAACGGATTGCACGATTACGCGTGTAAATCGAGTACCAAAAGTCCAAGTTAACAACTCTCTTGTATATTTACTTGCATAGAGAAAAGAGAGAGAAAAGTGGGGGTAGGAATATAAATGTACATATTATGCCAGCTAGTTGTCAACGATGTCTCTTCGCCAAATACATAGGTCAGATTAATGACGCTATAAAGAAACCTTCCATTATGCCTACGATAAAACCACCGCTGACTTTATAATATATTATACTATTCGCGGAAATGCAATTTCGAAAATTGACGACTTGAATTATTCAAAGACAATTTTTCCACACTCTCTTTTTCTCTCTCTCTCTCTCTCTCTCTTCTGATATGACTTTTACAGCCTCTGAAACAATTGTCAATATTCCTATCTTTATTGAGATTTCAACTTTAGATGAATTTTAATTTTATTCAAAAACATTTTTATTTTACATAGCCATAAATAATAATTTTTCGAAATAATATAAATAATTTATTAATTTTATTATTATTATTTATGAATTTTTATTGATTTTTTTAATAATAATAAATAATTTTAATAAATTAAAAGAATAAAATTTTCATACATTAAAAAAAAAATTTATTTGATTCAAATACCGGTGTATTTGGTTATTATCAAATAAATATTTACTTGAATCAAATAAATTTTTTTCAGTGTAGTAACATAAATTTTGAAATAATTTTTTTGTTATATTATAAAAAATTATTATTATTTTGTTAATTATGAATATGTGAAATGTGTAAAATATTATTTAAATCAATGATAATAATAAAGAATCAATATAATAGAACGTTTTTGATGCCTGTCTAAAACAGTAGAGAGAGAATGGAATTCTAATAATAAATGCGTGTGTGAGGGATATTATGAAATTATGAAATTTTTTTTCTTTTTTTTTAATGCCTGTTGAAATAAACCATTTATGATATTTTGACAGATTAGAATCTAACCAACGATTTCACTTGTTAATTAGAAAATGAATTACACAATTAATGCGCGACTCATTTTGACATAAATCTAAAGAATACCATAAAGTATTTGCTCGCGAGGAATAATGACCTTCCACTATTAAATTACATAACAGTCATAATTACAATAATTAATGATTTATTATACTCTTATTTATATATATATATATATATATATATATATATATTTATATTTATATATATTTATATATACATATAAGTAAAAAATTGAAGTTATTTTAAATAGGAGACGAAAAATTGTACTTAAAAAAAAAATTTAATTTAAAGTCAGAAATCTTTTCTTGATTCAAATAAAATGTTTCTTAAACTTTATAATTATTATTAAAAAAAAAATAGAGAAATTAGAAAAAAAATACTATTCGAACAAAATATCATTTAGAAAAATGTTTATATTCCCTTTCTCTTCAATTAATCAAATGTAATTACAGTTTTTATTTCATCGTTAAAACATATACATATTGAAAATAATTTATAGAGTGCAATTATAATTTTTTTCACGGCAAAATAGTCACAAATGTAAAAGAAAACGAGATGTTTTACACTGATAAAATCGACTGATAATTGATTCGTTTGCTTTAGTGAAAAAAATATATAAATATAGATATATAAATATATATTTAAGACCTGTTGGAAATATGTTTATTCATGAACTGTTTCAATTAATTTACTCGAGTTGATTAAAACAGGCTTCACGTTGTTATGAGCTATAATTTATATATTTTTTATTATGATTATGATTATTTTTATTATTATTATTATTATTATTATTATTATTATTATTATTGTTAATTAATTAATATATATATATATATATATATGTGTGTTTGAACATTTATAATGTTCTAATATATTTTTTATATCGTTAAAATTTTTTTGTGTTTTACTTACAATTTAGTAATATAAAAAAAAATTATAATAAAAAAAAATAAAAAAATAATGACCCGTCATTAATGATAGAGGTCAATATTTATGGTAACGTGTAGTAAAATTGATTTTGTCCGGAATTAAAGACTCCCGAGTTTATTGCAATTTCCATAGTATGAATTAAAAGTAAGGTCTCGTACACCAAGGCGGATGTAAAATTAAATTGAATTCGCTATTTTTTTTTTGCAAAAGTGGTTAATAGAATTTTGATTTTTTTTTCTCATCGAAAAAGAGAATTTCCTTTTTTTTCATGAAAAGAAATTTCTTTCTTTCTTATATATATATTGAGAAAAAATAAGTGTAATTAATTTTTTATGTAAAAAAAAATTGTAACTGTAGAAAAAAATTACTTATTTTTTTATAATATAAAGATTTATATTTTTTTTGTTAAAAAAAAAAGAATTGTAAATAATTTTTTTAATGTTTTTTTCTCTAAATCTGAATTAGTAAAAAAGTTTACTAATTTGAATTAGTGACTCACTCTCTAAATCTGAATTAGTAAAAATGTTTACTAATTTAAATTAGTGACTCACTTTTTGCTTTAAAATTAGTTAAATTTTACTAATTGTTAGTAAAAGTTACTAATAATTAGTAAAATTTAACTAATTCAGAAGCAAAAAGTGCGTCACTAATTCAAATTAGTAAACATTTTTACTAATTCAGATTTAGAGAGTTTATACTTAAAAAATTTGAAAAATATTCTCATAGAAAATAGCAAAATGAAAAGTAATTTTCGATGATTAATATTTTTTGCACGATATAATGACAGTAATAACAATTTGTTTTTTTTTATGTATTTTGAATTAAAAAAGAAGAAATTTTGTTGACAAACACAAAGTCCTGTTAATTTGTTTACATGGAGATGAGAACTTAGGAGAATATAATATCCATGTCACTTCTCTCTCTCTCTCTTTTTCTCTCGTGACATAAGGGAACCGTATAATTTTCCTTAATCATCGGTAGAAAGCTGAGAAGTCTCCATCATCGTCGCTTGGACTTGTAATCATTGGGCACGAATTCTCTTGTTTCGATGCACTGACCGATTATTATTATTATTATTCATATTCTCTCGAATGACGAGAAAGTGTTTCGAACACATATACATATATTTAAATATATTCGCTCATCATCATCATCATCATCACTTCCTTTTGTTATTTAAATGTTTCACAGGACATTATAATGTATGTACTTTAAGACACTCTGTCACTTGAATCGAAATTGATAGTCGTCTATTTTCAAGAGAGGAACAATTTGTCAAACAATCGAAACAAATTTTAGTCCAATTTCATAATTTTTTTTCAAATTTTAATTCCAATATACAAAATAAATTAAGTAAATAAACAAAATTAAAAAAATAATAAATAAAAAAAGAATAAAAAATGGAAACTATTTTTTTTTAATTTTTTTAGTTTTTTATTTTACAAAATCAAAAATATGGAGTTTGACTAACTTTTTGTTCAATTATTTCTCAATGGTATTAGTAGGAAAAATAGTTTTACATTTTGCAAAATAAAATTTATTATCGAACACGTGTTAAACAATAGAACCTGATTAAGTTTCCATAACACGGTAATATTGCATCATTCTTAAGTGGTTGATCGAGTAAAATAGATAGAATTATCAAAGTATCATCGATAAAATTTTATTCTCAATTTCTGTAGCACTATATTTTAAATTTTAATCATTTAAATGACTAGCGAACAGCATTTTTCAATTATTGTAATTTTTATATTATAGTCTAATCTTGACCTATATTTCCAAGACATTATTTATTTTTCCAAAATTTTTTTTTTTATCTCTAAAACCGAAATAAAAAAATAGAATGATAAAAATTATAAACATAAAATAATATTAACATAATTTTACAATTAATAATAATAATAATAATAATAATAATATTAACCATGACAAAATGAAATAATTAATATATATTTAATTATATAATATGTAATAATTATAGTATTTATAATTTAATATAATTAAAACAAAGGAAATGGCTTTTTATCACAGTAATAAATTAAATAAGGCAAGTAATGCAATAATAAAATTAATAAAAGTAACATAAATAATGCATTAGCGTATATACTAATAAAAATATATTTGAAAAATGTACGACCCCATTTTCCTTGACTCTCTCATTGCGTTTTTATAATGAATCATATATATATATTTGCAAATGGGCGCGTAATAATTAGATATAAATAAATGAAATTACGATTATTGAAAATTAATATCACACACACTTTATGTTTGAAAATAAAAGGGCAAATTATTCGCAATAATGAATATAAGAGGAATTTCATTATAAATATATGAGAAGAGGAGAACGGAAAAAAAAGTTGATCAGGAGAAAGAAAATCTCACAAAGCACTTTATATAAAAGAAAAACACAGAAGAAAAATAATAAAAATTTGCAATTTTTTACTCGTAATGAAAAAATTTTCAACGAAATAAGCATTCTTTTTATATTTAGCGAAAAAGAGACACACACTGTGAAATTGGAACCATGTGCGCGTTTAAACAGCAACTATCTTCGTTTTACTGAAAATTACAAGAAAACAGTCATTCAGTTGCTTATGTGTGTATAAATATATATATATATATATATTTTTTATAAACACAAAAACATGATTCGTCGCACAGAAGCGCTGCAAATGTTCTGCAGAGACAGCGGCGTACACGAGGCGACTGACAGTCTGGTTACATCGTAAACTCCATGAGCTGTCGCAAGAAAAAGAAAACCAACTCCTTTCAAATAATGTGTGTGTGTGTGTGGAGGAGGAAAAAAGAAGAAACAAAAAAAAAAATAACAATCAAATACGAGAAAAAAAAAACGAATTGTCCCGAGTAAGACAAAAGCGACATGGAGAAAAGTGACAAGAAAGATTTATCGTCATTGTTATAAGGAAAGGGAGTTTCTTAAAAATTACACAAAATTTATTATCCATGATTTTTTCTTTTCAATAACGAAAAGACCAGTGAGAAAACTAGAAAAAATAAATACCTTTTTTTTCCCTAGGATTAAAAAAGGTTACTTTCTCCCCTCAAAATGAGGCAAAAACGAATACTAAAAAAAAGGTACTAAAATAAAAATAAGTAAAATAAATAAATATCTTTTTTTTCCCTAGGATTAAAAAAGGTTACTTTCTCCCCTCAAAATGAGGCAAAAACGAATACTAAAAAAAAGGTACTAAAATAAAAATAAAGTAAAATAAATAAATATCTTTTTTTTCCCTAGGATTAAAAAACGTTACTTTCTCCCCTCAAAATGAGGTAACAAAAACGAATACTAAAAAAAAGGTGCTAAAATAAAAATAAGTAAAAAAATCTCAGTGATTCAAAAACAGAGAACAAAAAAATTATAAACTTAAAAATTAATATTTTTTTTTGAGGAAACTAATTTTTATCTAAAGACAAAAAAAAATTGTTCTCTATTAGATAGGAGATTATTATAAAATGTAGAGGATCATTTATCATTTTTATATAATCATGAAGTAACGTTATTTGAATTTATAACGAGTGGTAAATAATTCGCATGGGTGTTCCAGAACGATCGACGACATGATTAATACTTTCAGGTGAATTTAAGCAATTCTCACCACAGTGTGTATGTGTGTATGTGTAAAAGTCGCTCTTGGGATTAACAACGTCCGATGTTAACACATCCCGCACATTGAAGGGAACTTAAAATAAATGGACTTGTCCGAGTTTCACTATATCAGTATGTGTGACCAAAATCATCACATATTTATTTTATATTGAGATTCGAAAGTTCTACTTCTTTTCACAAAATTATAAATTTTGTTATTAATAAATAATTTTAAAAAAAATCCCTTCTATTTTAAACTAAAACTGAGGAAGGAAAAATTTACTTTATTTGTTTGATTTTTTTTTTATTTCATAAATGAAAAACAAAATCAAATATTTTTTTATTTCATCTTTGCAAATAAATAATTTAAAAGTAAATAATATATAAATTAAATTACAGGAATATTTTGCTAATAATATATAAATACACCTAAAGAAAAAAATTTAACTCGGAACTAAATAAATTATATTTCTTTCAAATAAATTTTTTAATTAAAAAATTTTTGTTTAAAATAAAAAATGTAATAAAATTTTATTTAGCGCAAATAAAATTAATTATTTTTTATTTGAAACATAAATAATATTGGATTATTTTTTTTTGGGGGGGGGGGATTGAAAAAATTGCAATGTGCTAAAAAAAGAGGCGAAATTTTTGAGAACAAAATTTCGAATACAATTGAAGATGTAATGTATATTTTGAAAAATGACCATTTTTGGTGAGCACGATAAAACTCTTGTACACTGACGTCAGAGTATTATACGATTATCTCGTCGAATATGCGCTTACCTCAGATTGTAACTTCTCATTATAATTATTATCGTGTGGGTGTAAGCGTAACTGCGGGAAGAAAGTGCAAAAATTGAGCAATATTATTTTTCACATTTTTGTATTTTTTCGAGAGAGAGAGAGAGAAAATATAATCGATTATATTCGTGTAAACTACACGGAGAAAAAGAAAAAGTAATTTTTACTACTTTCAGAGTAAAACTGGACCAACTCGAAGTTTCTGCGCATCTCTGGCAATTTTTACTTCAAAAATAGTAAAATTTATTATTTCGTTAGTAAATTTTACTGTTTCCGTAGTAAGTTTTACTATTTCTAGAGTAAATTTTACTATTTTTGGAGTAAAAATTGCCAGAGATGCGCAGAAACTTCGAGTTGGCCCAGTTTTACTCTGAAAGTAGTAAAAGTTACTTTATAAAAGAAATCTTTTTTCTCCGTGTATAATAATAATAATACAATAAAATAATAATAAAATAATAACAAAATAATAAAATAATTTTCCTTAAGCAAAAAATTAAAAAATTATTATTTTATTATTATATATTATAATATAAATAAAAAATGCACTGATTTTATCTCAGACAATGTCAAGTGTCGTCGGTAAAATTATAAAAAAAGATGGAACTAAAAGTAAAGTTGAAAATGATTGATAATATGGTTTTGTCGGTAAATCGCAAGGAACGCGCGAGAATCTTAGAACACTATCTATATATATATGTGTGTGCTTTTGAAACGAAAGATGAGGTGCGCTCATGAGTTAGATGCGCAAATTGCTCATAAATTATAATGAGTTAAGTGATGCTAAAACGAATTCTTGATGCCTTATTTGCAATTGCGTTGTCGCGCGTGAAAGTGTCCAGATCGAATTATCTTTTGCATTTTGACTTTATCTTTTCTCACAAGCGCGCACGCAGGAGAACCATTATTATTATTATTATATCCTCCTTCCGGGATCACTTTATCTTTTTAGTATGGGCCGCTAATTAAGTTTATTATAAAATACAATCATCTTTTATATATTTCACTTCTTGAAAATTAATTTTCCCCTATCGGAAATGTTCTTTTAAAAAAAAAAAACAGAAATTCTTCCTTTAAAGTAAATCACGATTTTATAATTAAAATATATATAATTAATTGAAAGTTATTGAAAATTATTTATACAATTAGATAATAATTAATATCTATTCTCAAATTTGGAAATAGTAATTTATTTTCAAAATTAGATTATAGTCTAATTATTTAGTGAAAAAAATTTATTGAATTCAAACCATCGTTTACTTATCAAATAAATATTTTTTTTTTATTATTTGAGTTAATTAAATGATATTTGTACCAAATACAGAAATTATTGATTCGAATACAATTTATTTAATTCAATTATTTTGAAAAATTATTTGATTCAAGTAAATATTTATTTCAGTCAAGAAACCGATTGAGTCAAATAATTTTTTTTTCAGTGTAGATAGTATTTTTTTTATTCACAATACATAATAATTAAAGTTAATATCAATTTGTGTTTATTATATGTCTTATTACTAATTATTAGCGAAATTAATATAACATGAATAATAAAATATAACATGAATAATAATATTAAAATGAAAAAAAAAAATGTAATAAATTATTATTGAATTATTACAGGAGGAGAAAAAAAAATGAGGTAATTCGGCTTCTGGTGGAAACACGTGTCCATGTTGTTTTTCAAGACAAACCGAAGCACCAGCTCGTTGCCATAAATTACGGAGATAACGCGAGAGAGCATTGGAATGCCGCGGCAACATAGCGCAGACCTTTTAATATGGGAGGTATGTAAAGTCTCATAAACTAATTAATAATAATCATCATTTTTCTGTCTCATTCGTACTTGAGAAGTTTAAACATCAATTTATATATTATGTATCTCTCACATTGTTGCATTATATTTATATAATCAAATTTTTTATGCTTTGAATAATAAATCCATGCGAGAGATATATTCTTCGGTTACATCCCTTAATGAGTTATTAACTCGTAAACTGACTCAAAACAAGTTTAGTTCGATTTTGTGCACACTTTATATAAACCAGTTTCTCTCTTAAACCAGAAACATAAATATAGAACTGAAAGTTTGAGTTTAGAAAATTTTCCATCAAGTTAGATTTTTATATTTCTTTACTCAATTTTTCAATTTCTTTGTTTCATATTTTTTTTATAAATAAATTTTTTTTTTTTTTTAGAACCTTTTAAATATTTATTAGACATATTTTTACCTAATTTAAAAATTCTCTATGAAAACATTTTTTTGTAATCTTTTACTTAAAATCGATATTCAAAAAAACGAGATTGTTTACGCATTATAAATGTGACAAATGAATTAACACGTTGGTAAATTAAGAGTTTTCTGCGTGTAGAGATTTTTTATCTTTATTAATTGTAATGGGATGTTATATATTGTTTTGCGAAGGTCATTTGGAGATGTGTTACCAATTATGGGGATGGAAAGAACTCGCGAGAAATGAAACGAAGTAAAATCACTATATAGCTATAACGACGAGTGTGCTTACGTGTTTACCTGTTTAGGACAAAACCAGTATTTGTCGACCCTGATATCACGTCAAACGACGTGTTTTAATTTCATCTTCTTAAGAAATGCTTTAATCATCGAGGAAACTTCTCCCTTCTTTCTCTCAATGATCCAATCCGGAAACCCAAGTTTTTCATCTTGACTATACGTTGCTTCTTAATTTTTATAGAAGCATCTCATAACAAGAATTATTTCTTATTATTCAAGTTTCTTTTAAATGTCAGTGTTTCTCTCATTCTGCTGCTCTCTTTCTTTTTTCAAATTATCACAAAAAATTTTTTAGTTTCACATTGCTCCTCTCTGATTTACGACTTTCTGAATTGCATAAAGATTATCAATTTTTATATTTCTCAATTTAAATTGTACTTTGTGCAACAAATGCTTCTTTCCAAAAGTATGATTGACTGTAAATAAATATTAAATATATTATAAATATAAATATTGACTGATGTCAATATTTTACAATAATTTTAAACTAAACTCAAATAAACAAAAAAAATGTACGGAACACTTATTGAATGGTCCAGCGGATGCTGAGCTGCACTCAAAAAGATTTTGGAAAAATTTTCGAAAAATTAAATTTGCGCGATAACTGCTCCGGAATACCGCCAAAAAATAGGGAAAAAGTTTCGAACAAAAAATGTATGGTGCACTTTTTGATTGGTCCAGCGGATGCTGAGCTACAGTCACTAAAACTGGGAAAAAATTTTCGAAAAAAAAAATTTGCCAGATAATGACTCGGGAATAATGCCAAAAAATTGAGCAAAAAGTCTCGAACAAAAAATGTATTGCGCACTTTTTGATTGGTCCAGCGGATGCTGAGCTACACTCACTAAAACTGGGAAAAAATTTCGAAAAAAAAAATTTGCCAGATAATGACTCGGGAATAATGTCGAAAAATTGAGCAAAAAGTCTCGAACAAAAAATGTATGTCGCACTTTTTGATTGGTCCAGCGGATGCTGAGCTACTCTCACTAAAACTGGGGAAAAATTTTCGAAAAATTAAATTTGCGAGATAACTGCTCCGGAATACCGCCAAAAAAATAGGGAAAAAGTTTCGAACAAAAAATGTATAGTGCACTTTTTAATTGGTCCAGCAGATGCTGAGCTACACTCAAGAAGATTTTGGAAAAATTTTTGAAAAAAAAAATTTGCCAGATAATGACTCGGGAATAATGCCAAAAAATTGAGCAAAAAGTCTCGAACAAAAAATGTATGGCGCACTTTTTGATTGGTCCAGCGGATGCTGAGCTAAACTAGAAAACAAATTGGGAAAAATTTTCGAAAAATTAAATTTGCAAGATATTCGTTCGGGAATAGCGCCAATAAAATACGGAAAAAGTTTCGAACAAAAAATGTATGGCGCACTTTTAGTTTGGTCCAGCGGATGCTGAGCTACACTCACTAAAACTGGGGAAAAATTTTCGAAAAAAAAAATTTCCCAGATAATGACTCGGGAATAATGCCAAAAAATTGAGCAAAAAGTCTCGAACAAAAAATGTATGGCGCACTTTTTGATTGGTCCAGTGGATGCTGAGCTACACTCACTAAAACTGGGGAAAAATTTTCGAAAAAAAAAATTTGCCAGATAATGACTCGGGAATAATGCCAAAAAATTGAGCAAAAAGTCTCGAACAAAAAATGTATGGCGCACTTTTTGATTGGTCCAGTGGATGCTGAGCTACACTCACTAAAACTGGGGAAAAATTTTCGAAAAAAAAAATTTCCCAGATAATGACTCGGGAATAATGCCAAAAAATTGAGCAAAAAGTCTCGAACAAAAAATGTATGGCGCACTTTTTGATTGGTCCAGCGGATGCTGAGCTACACTCACTAAAACTGGGAAAAAATTTTCGAAAAAAAAAATTTGCCAGATAATGACTCGGGAATAATGCCAAAAAATTGAGCAAAAAGTCTCGAACAAAAAATGTATTGCGCACTTTTTGATTGGTCCAGCGGATGCTGAGCTACACTCAAATAAATTTATGAAAAATTTTCGAAAAATTAAATTTTCGAGATAATCGTTCGGGAATACCGGCAAAGTCTTTAGCAAAAAGTAGCGAACGAAAAATGTATGGCGCACTTTTTGATTGGTCCAGCGGATGCTGAGCTACACTATAAAACATATTTGGAAAAAATATAGAAAAATAAAATTTGCGAGATAATCGCTCCGGACTACCGCCAAAGTCATTAGAAGAAAGTTCTGAACAATAAATGTATGGCGCACTTTTTGATTGGTCCAGCGGATGCTGAGCTACACACAAAAACATTTTGGAAAAATTTTCGAAAAATTAAATTTTCGAGATAATCGTTCGGGAATACTGCCAAAAAAATAGGGAAAAAGTTTCGAACAAAAAATGTATGGTGCACTTTTTGATTGGTCCAGCAGATGCTGAGCTACACTCAAGAAGATTTTGGAAAAATTTTTGAAAAAAAAAATTTGCCAGATAATGACTCGGAAATAATGCCAAAAAATTGAGCAAAAAGTCTCCAACAAAAAATGTATGGCGCCCTTTTTGATTGGTCCAGCGGATGCTGAGCTACACTCACTAAAACTGGGAAAAAATTTTCGAAAAAAAAAATTTGCCAGATAATGACTCGGGAATAATGCCAAAAAATTGAGCAAAAAGTCTCGAACAAAAAATGTATTGCGCACTATTTGATTGGTCCAGCGGATGCTGAGCTACACTCATTAAAACTGGGGAAAAATTTTCGAAAAAAAAAAATTTGCCAGATAATGACTCGGGAATAATGCCAAAAAATTGAGCAAAAAGTCTGGAACAAAAAATGTATGGCGCACTTTTTGATTGGTCCAGTGGATGCTGAGCTACTTTCACTAAAACTGGGGAAAAATTTTCGAAAAATTAAATTCGCGAGATAATCGTTCCGGAATACCGCCATAGTGATTAGAAGAAAGTTCTGAACAAAAAATGTATGGCGCACTTTTTGATTGGTCCAGCGGATGCTGAGCTACACTCAAAAAAAATTTGGAAAAATTTTCAAGAAATTAAATTCGCTAGATAATCGCTCGGGAATACCACCAACAAAATAGTCAAAATGTTCTGAACAAAAAATGTATGGCGCAGTTTTTGATTGGTCCAGCGAATGCTGAGCTACTCTCACTAAAACTGGGGAAAAATTTTCGAAAAATTAAATTCGCGAGATAATCGTTCCGGAATACCGCCATAGTGATTAGAAGAAAGTTCTGAACAAAAAATGTATGGCGCACTTTTTGATTGGTCCAGCGGATGCTGAGCTACACTCAAAAATAATTTGGAAAAATTTTCAAGAAATTAAATTCGCTAGATAATCGCTCGGGAATACCGCCATAGTGATTAGAAGAAAGTTCCGAACAAAAAATGTATGGGGCACTTTTTGATTGATCTAGCGAATGCTGAGCTACAGTCAAAAAAATTTTGGAAAAAATTTTCGAAAAATTAAGTTCGCTAGATAATAGTTTCGGAATACCGCCAAAAAAAATAGTCAAAGATTATTGAACAAAAAATGTATGGCGCGCTTTTTAATTGGTCCAGCGGAAGCTGAGCTACACTCAAATAAAGTACCGAAAAAGTTTTGAAAAATTAAATTTTTGAGATGTATGTATGTTGTATGATTTCGCAAAACTAATCGAAACGACGTTCGATTAATTCAATTGTAGATAGTTATTTTTTTTCTAACAAATATGTCGAAATATTTGTATATTTTTGTTGGTGATAGTCACGAGTATTGCAATTTTAGAGCATATATACTGTGCTCGCGTTCCTCATAAATAAACATTGCAGTTTCGTTGGAAATCGAAGGCGTTGTCTCCATATGAAACTCGGTCGACTCCTTCGCGGGATCCGATACGGTTCTTCTCTTTTATATATATATATGTGTGTATATATTTATTTATAAATATATCCCGAAATCATTCATGCAAACTTTCTTTGACAGAGCGAGAGGCGAGATCGCAAGTGCATTAAGTATTCATTTTCTAAATGTGTAGGCCGGATTTTAAATAAGACGTTATGATATGCATAAAAGTTGGCATTTTGCCTGTTATTTACTTTCGACAGATGAAAATTTATGATGATGTGAAAAGCAATAGTGTCTATATAGCGGATTTCTGAATATATATATATATATTCCATTTACCGTATGTTAATAACTAATTGTTTAGTAGTTTTTAGAAATGCATTTGCTAAAACTTTTGTCTTATTTTAAGACATAAGACATCACTTTTTTCATTGGTATAGGAAA